ACCATGCAGGTAGGTGCAGCTGGTACTGGGCTCAGGTGCACGTGACAGCACCATGCAGGTAGGTGCAGCTGGTACTGGGCTCAGGTGCACGTGACTGGACCAAGCAGGTGAGCAGGGTGCTGGCACCTTTGCCCAGGGGTCCGTGACTGTGCGGCTGTGGGGAAAACAGCCTGGGCGTCAGACGGAGCTTCTCACCTTTTGCCCCCCCTCCCCCAGGCTGGTTTGAATGCTGCCTGGTCCCACACCAGCTGGTAGACTGTGACGATGGTGCAGGCTGGGCAGGGCTCAGGTCTGTTGTTTTTAGGGTTGCTGTGAGTTGTAGGGGACTTGATGACAATTAACAGTGACACCCACAAACCTTGAGCAAGTCATGTCCATGGGCCCCAGACTGCTCATCTAGGAAGGAGCGTTGAGAGGTCTGGCCCTGTGGAGCTGAGCATCAGTGGTGCTGCCCAGCCACCTCTGGACATGGGGTGGGTGTAGTGACAATGACATTCTTTTTGGAGTGTCCCAGAGTGGCAGACCTTCCCAAGCATGATATCTCTTTCCCAGGACTAGCCTCTTCTAGCAACATGCCCAACGTATAATAGATGAAGCTTTGTCATCCTTGCCTCCAAGGAGAACTCTGGCTACACTTTGACTGAAACGCATCTGGGGGTTTTTGTTGTTGTTGTTGTTGGGTTGTTTTGTTTTGTTTTGTTTTTGGTAGTCCATGGGATATTCAGTACTCTTCTACAACACCAAACCTCAAAGGCATAAATTCTGTCATCTGTATTCACTGTGCAGATCTCAGACGCATCTCCTGGCTTATCAGTCCAGTGGGAAGATTTTTTGTCTTCTTGATGTTGAGATGTAATCTATATTGATGGCTGTAGTCTTTGATCTTCTGGAGTGAGCACCTCTTTCTTGGAAAGGTTGGAGGTTGGCGAAAGAGAGGAAGACCCTCAACCAGATGGATTGACCCAGTGTCTGCTGCAGTGGGCACAAGGGTGTCAGAGATGGTGAGAATGGCGCAGGATAGGACAGGGCTCAGGTCTGTTGTTCACTATGAGTTGTACTTGACTTGATGGCACTTAATGATAACAGCAGAATGAAAGACGCGCAACTCAATGCTGCCACAATACTCTGGTCGTGGATTTGCCACAGACAGGTGCTAGGGCCAGCAAAGGACAGCCGGAGTAGAACCGCTGACTGTTCTTGAGCTCTTTCTATACCCTAGGTATAAGGCTAGGTTTTCACCGTCTCGTAGATGCCTCATGCTAGCCTGAGCCAGTTGGTCCTGTTTATTCCCATTTCACAGATGTGGCGGCTGAGTCTCAGCCTGGTTGAGAAGTACGTTCAGTGTCCTGTAAGGATTTGTCTGCTCTGGCAGGTAGAGCCCAAGGCTGACAGTCTTCATCCAGGTCTCCTCCTTGAGTGCCCTCATGGTGGACAGGCTCGGGCCATCTCTCCATGCCAGGCAGTTCTTAGACGGACCGTGTAGCAGACGGCAAGGGAGTTGTCCCAGTTCCAGCACCCCCACACTAGCAGTGCCCACCTAGAAGCAGAGTTCGGTTGTCAGGCCCTCATTTGATTTTTTCACAGAAGAATCTAGAAAGTATGAGATATTTTCTCACCTTCTCTCATCGATGTCTTCAAAATCAGCGTTGATTCATGATTCATTTTATTTCATCTGAATTCTTCACTAGGATATTACTAGTCTCTGTAAACTTTCATTAACATTCATTTAAAAAGATGATCATGCTTAAATCTCGAAGAAAAAAAAGAATATTATTTGTGTGAAATTTTACAGAGCCGATTGTTTTTTTATTCAACAGGTGACACACATTTTGTTTCTTGACATTGATTGCAGTCTCCACATGTAGAACACTCTTCCTCCTCCTTCCTTGTGTTACCAGTTTCCATCCATCCTTCTTTCCTCTCCCTTCCTGCTTTCTGAGTTTTACCCTCGTGTAAAAACTACCCCATCGATCTTGTATGGTTGCTTAGTGTGAGCTCTGTGTGAGTGTGGACCTCACTGCTCACACCAAGCAACCGCACGATGTCTTCTATCCGTTACCAGCTGAGTCACTGTGAACATTTTACGAAGGACGCCAGAGAGAAGGGATCGGGAGACATCGTGGGTGGGGAGGAGTGCCCGGTTGTTTTGCTCTTTGGGCGTTGAGCTGAAAATCCTGGAGCGATAGAGCCAGAGTTCACGTCTTCCAGATCCCCCCAGTGAGTAGCTATGAGACCTTGAACTAGGCATTCTGTGGCCCTGGACCTCAGTCTTTCTATCTGAAAAATAGGAATGATAAAACCTGCCCTGCCCACTCAGGATGTATCATCTGCTGTGTGCAACAGATTCTGGCCAGAATTTGATGACCGTCGGGGCCAGGATAACCAGTGGAAGTGAAATGGGGTAAAGTATAAACAGAAGTGACATTGTCCTGTTCAGGAGAGGTGTTTCATCGCATTTAGAGGGCCTTTCAACGCCAGGTGGCTGATTCCCTCAGAAATAACATTCAAATACAACCTACCCAGCTCCCCAAACCTTTGGTGGGGTGGTCTGTGGTGTTTGGGAATGGGGGAGCCCTTAAAGGGATTTTCATCAAGACGACCCAAATCCATACAGCTGGTGTGGTTCTTGTGGCCACATCTGTCCTTTCATTTCTGTTAACTCATCAGTCAGGGGGACTGGACACTGCTTCGCTTTAATCTCGGGGTGTATTGACCTGTTAGTTATAACAACTGACTTCTGGGAGCCAGAGGTTTGTTTGGTTTTTTTGTAAGACAAAGAAAATGGTATTTCTTGAGCCCAACATTTCATGATTCGTATCTTTTCTACTTTTTAAAAAAAATTTTTATTTTGTGTGTGTACCGTCTTATCAGACCTGACTGGTACAGGAGGAAGTTGCCCCTCTTTCTCCAGCATCTGGTGGATTTGAACCACACACTTTGTGGATTGCAGTGCAGCTTTTTTGCCACTAGGCCACTAGAGCTCCCTGATTTGTATCTTTTCTTGTCCTCCCTGGAATCTGGTCACGTAGGACTAGCATCCCATTCTACAGAGAAGGTCAATTAAGTCACTGGCTCCACGCTTGCAGAATTTGCAGACATCTGACTGGACTGGAACGAATGGCAGATTCTAGAACACTTACAGGTGCTCACCGGCACAGGGGTGGACTTACTCAAGTCCAGGATGGGCTGACACCCCTGTCTGCTGTGCTGAAAGTGGCCGTTTCATGGTCCTTCCTGATTAGAGTCACCCCTGACGCTGGTGTCTTGAAGACACAACTGCTGTGTTTCCATTGTCCCCGGCGCTCTTGGCAGGAGGAAGGTTGCGGTCAGTCCTGAGGCTCATGTGCAGAATGCATACCTGATCCCTGGCATTCCCATGCAGGATCCTTGCACAGGATGAGAGAAGTCATCTTAAAGGTCTGTGGTCCCGATGTCACAGCCCAGGGGGCTCTCGGTGGCCGCTGAGGTCCAGGCCAAGTCAGCACGGGCCTCCAGGAGGCTGCCCTCGGCCCTGAGGAGGTGAAGGAGAGATTCTGGCGGAAGCTATTTCTAATCATAAGCCGGCCCGTCCTTCCCGTGTGTGGTTTCTGCAGAGCCTTTGGGCAGTGGCTGTCCCTGCGTCCCTCTGACTGCTCTCTCCCACTGGCCTGCAGACTCAGAGGCAGGGCCAGCCAGAGCGTCGGGCCCGATTTTATGCCCCTGGCTTCTTATCAGTAGCCAAGACTCTCCACATCAGGGCCTGGACAGGTTGCAGTAAGGGATTTGTAACTGTCACTATTGCTTCTCATTGCAAAAGGTCGTAGCTAATGGATGTTTTGTAAAAGCTTTTAAAAATGAAAATGTGGGATCTAAGAAGTACTGGTTCCCTGCAGTGCCACCTCAAAGGCAGCTGGGGTAGAAACGAGAGGTTTCCCTGAATTTGTCCCGCACACAAGTTGACATGTTCACTGCTTGGGCAGATGGTGATGCCGGACTGCTGGGCATGTGGGCTCCGGAGACAGCGCCCCTCAGAGCCCATTACCTCTGAGCTCCCCATCTCCAGGGCATGGGTGCTGTGGACTCTGCTCGCTGTCCTCGCATACAGAGCACCTCCGTGTCCAGCAGGTGGAGCTTAAGAAATGCCCCTAAAGCCGCTAAGTGGGAGTGGAGTTGGGAGCGGCTTCCTGGGTTTGAATCCTGACTCTGCCCCCTGGGAGCTGCATGATGTTGGGCAAGTCAGTCCACCTCGCTGTGCCTCACTTGCCTCGCCTGTAAAATGGGATGATGAGAACAGTACCTCCCTCCTAGGCTGGTGAGAACTGAACGAGTGGATAAGGAGAACGCTTTTATCGTTGCCGGGCATTGCAGGGGGAGCTGTGTACCTGGTGGGGATCGCTTTCATCAGCGAAGATGAAATTTGTTTTTGGTGTTTTGTTTTGTTTTTTCCTGTTGGTGATGAATTTCCGTGATGTTCTCCTGTCTCTTTGGCACAGGCTGTCTTCTCGTCCGTATTTTACTTCGCTTCTGTCCCCCTGTATCAAGGATTCCTCATCATTGGGTAAGGACACCCAGATAAGGAACGAACCTGCCACATTAAGGCTGATTAAACCACAGGAGAGTAACGGTGTGTTTGGGATTCATTGTCCACAACTCCCCTGGGTCCCTGGATCAAGGGCATCCCAGCCCACCTCCAGTCAAACGAGGAGCCCTGCTGGAGTTGTGGGTAACACGATGCGCTGCTAACACAGAAGGTGAGCAGTTCAAATCCACCAGTCGCTCCACAAGAATAAAGGAGGGCGGTCTCCTCCCGTGACGATTTACAGCCTCAGAAACTGGAGAAAGGGTTTCTGGGAGTTGTACTGAACCTGACAGCTGGAGGTTTGGGTCTGAAGTAAGTGAGAACCCCTGGCATTGCAGTGGTTAAAGCACTTGACAGCTGCCTGAAGGGACCCCAGGTTAAACTCTTCTCTGTGGGAGAAAAATGAAGCAGCCGCCCCCTCAACATGACAGCCGTGCCAACGGGCCGCCCTGTCGTCCTGTCACGTGGCTCTGAGTCAGAAGCCACTTGACAGGGGGCCTGGGTTTTGGATTCCAGAATTGTTGGGGCCCTTTGTGAGGTGGTGGAGGCAGAGCCCCCCCACACCTGTGACCTGTGACGCTTTGCATTTGTACCTGGTGACGTAACACCTTGGTGTGCGAGGGATTGGCCACCTGACAGCATGGCCAGAGTGGAGGGTCAAGCTCGATGACTTCACAGAGGTCTCAGGAGGGCATGGGAGGGGGTGACAAATGTCCTCTTTGCCGTCCCCACCCCAGAACCGCCAGCTGCTGGTTCTCTAAGGAGGGCTCACAGGGAGTGGTGCTGGGGTACACGTGGACTAGAGCTTAGTCCCCGGTGACATCAGCATGACTTTGTTATATAATAAAAACCAAACGAGAACCACCCTCACACTGACTGGCTGAAGCCAGCACATACCTGACCCTCCTGTGGGTTTTCTGAAGCTGTAAATTGCCCACGAGGGGCTGCTGGTGCATTTGAACCAGTCACCTTTAGGTTGGCAGTTCAGCCCTCCATAGAATACACCACCATAGCCCATAATGGAAACTCCATAAAGAATCATTGGGTGAGTGGGTGAGTGGGTGCAGTGCGTGGATGAATAGAAAAGCACTCGGGTGGCCGGGGAGCCGGCTGAGTGCTCTGCTCGCTGGCTGCACTCACCTGCCGCTTCTCCCCCAGGTACTCCACCATTTACACCATGTTTCCTGTGTTCTCGCTGGTCCTGGACAAAGATGTCAAGTCCGAAGTCGCCATGCTGTATCCTGAGCTCTACAAAGACCTCCTCAAGGTGCAGCCCACCCCTCTGCCACCCCTCACTCCCTCCTCTCCCCGCCCCCCTCTCCCCTTCATCCTTTCTGCTTCCCTCCTCTCCCTCTCTTTAACAGATTTTGCAAGACCCTCTCAGCTCTGTTTTGTTTTTTAATTATTTTGTGTGTGTGTGCCGTCAAATCGGATCTGACTGGTACAGGAGGAGCTTGCCTGCCTCCTTCTCCAGCAAAGCATCTGGTGGATTTGAACCATCAGCTCTGTTCTGACCACACATCTTCTATCTCCTCCCTCTCTTCTCCTCTTCCTCCTTTCTTCATCTTCCCCCTCAGTCTGTCCCCCCCCCCACTTCTGCCTTTTCTCTCTGATCTCCCACCAACCCCTCCGCCTCTGGCTTGACCCCACTCCTGACTTTCCAACCTTTAGGGGAGGAGGGCTGGGAGCCCACACTTTGCTGCTCACAGGACTCTGTGCGCATATGAAGGGTATGAAAGAGCACAGTAGTGTAGGAACCAGAAATGAGCACCGAGCCCCCAGGAGCCCTGTCATCCCCTGTGCGGCTCATCTCTCCTTCAGGTGGTGTGTGTGTGTGTGTGTGTGTGTGTGTGTGT